GGGTGAGGAGGAGGAGGGCAGGGTATTTCGAAATGCAACGCCTGCTTCTGCCTTTTGTTAGAGAATTCCACCTCGAAGCAGCAGGCGCGTGGCAATGCTCTCATACGCTTCCTTTTTATTTTATTTTTTTTAATTCTTTTTTTTTTAACCTAAAGATCCCTTAGAAAATACCGTGTGAAATGAGGGGAAAAAACGTACAAAGAGTCGCAATACAGAAAGGCACAGCAGCGTCCCCTCGAAGCATCAGCCCCCAAACCCAACGCCACGCGGGCACTAGCACCGCACGGTCGCGGTGCGGAGCGAGGAGGACAGTGGAACAGAGGAGGGCATCCCGCTGCCCTCACACCCCCTGGGACTGTGCTGTGGGACGGGGAGGCACTCGGCAGGAAACAATAACGATAAAAACAGCAACAAAGCTCTGCGGAGGCCGGGGGCGGTGAATTACGGCGTGCGTGACACGGCTGCTGCGGGATGCGGGGTTCGCGCCGTCGGGCCGGGCGGAGGGGTGGACACGGCTGTGCTCCGTCCTTGCCATTTAATTTATCGTAAACACGACTTGCTGGCCACTCCCCTCCACACACCAGCACCAGCCGCCACATCAAAACCCCAGCAGGCTACAGACATTGGCTACGGCAGGAAAAAAAAATAAATAAAAATAAAAATAAACCTAGGCAAACAAACAGAGAAGAAATGAGGACCATCGCGAGGCCGAAGCGATGTCCTGTAAATTCAGCGCGATTCCATTCTGGCAGCTAAAGGGGAAAAGAGGAGGGCAAGTTCTACGCATTCCTCCCCAAAATGCTGCAAGCTACGCTGAAAATCCACAGTCCAAAGCGAAGCTCTGCCCGGAGAGGGGCTAGGGCGACACATTTGGGGTCAGCGGGGGCCGGGTATCTCCTCTCCCTGCGGGGTGGCCTGGCCCTGGGTGTCCACCCGCCCCCTCGCCGCGAGATACTCCGTCCAAGGGCATCAGGGTACCCCCAAGACTCAAAAAAAAAAAAAAAAAAAAAAAAAAAAAAAAAAGATAGGAGAGTCCTGCCCACTTAAACGAGAACGGGATTTCTCTTGAACCAGTTCGCTTGTGCTCTGCCGTCCTGCCCCCTCTCCCTCCGCCAACCCCCTCCCTCCAGAGATGGGAACCAGCCGCAATTCGCAGTGCAGAAGGACCGCAGGAGCCCTCCCCGGCGGAGTTCGTCCCTTCCTGCAGTCGCCTCCTCGTCCTCCAAGTCCGCGCGCCCTTTAGCTGCACCCGCTCCCGCGCCCGTCCCCGATCACCTTCCGCGGGGCTCAGCCCCCGCTCCCTCCCCTCTGTCACCTTCCAAAATGTCACCGAGTTCCGAAAGCTCCCAGTCCTCGCTGCCCAAATAATAGCAATAATAGCAATAACAACAATACTGATAATATACGTTTTCTAAAGCTATGGTTTGGGACCAAGTCAAAGATCCATTTCACACGAGCCCAGACAAGCGCAGCGCCTTTGCAAAATCCTCACCGACAACCGGCAGGGGCAGCTGATTTCGGAAGGGGGCGGGGGGCGAGGGAGGAGAGAAAAAAAATACGGGAATAGCGGAGAAAAGTCAAGCCCTCCAAAAGCTTTAAATCTGTCCTTTCCCAGGGCACCGCAAAGCGATGGCATCGCCAGCATCTCGGCGGTGTGCAGCAATATTTGGGGGTAACTCTGCAAATGTGTCTGCTCCTGCTCGCAGCCGCCCGGGGACGGCGCTTCCTGGCGACTCTAGCAGTCTTTTGAATTTTCACCGGGAATAAAATCCTCCCTCGGTGGAATCAAATAAGCACAAATGAGGTAATGTCCTCCTCCTCCTCCTCCAAACGAACAAACACAACAAAAATGCAAGGACTAATATTAAGGATAACATCCAATTAATGCCTTCCCCTGCCTTTCTTTGACAGTACAGGAAAAAATGGCCTTCCGAAGAGTTCAGCATAATTTAAAACGGAATAATAATACGAATATAGGGATTTGCAACGTATATCCTCATTTTCCAGGGGTCGATATTTCATATATTTTTTCCCCTTATTGATGAGAGACTATTCAGTGCATTTAGCCCCCTTCTTTCCTCCCTCTCTTTTTCTCCCCCCATTCCTTTTCATTTCTTTCTTTCTTTCTTTTTTTTTTTTCTTTCTTTCTTTGGCTTTTGGTACCCACAAAACGCTGCAGAGGTTGTCTGGTGAGGAGGGTGACCCGGCGAAAGGATCTCTAAATAGCAATGCAATGCTGAGTTTTTTTTTTTTTTTTAATCAGAATTCCTTTACAGGCAAATATTTTCAAGCCTCCCTTCACACCTGACAATCTGGATAACAAAAGACGCGCTTTAATCGCCCTTTTACCGAATGCTAGTTTGGGTTCGTGCTTGGGAATATATGCGATATATAACCTTTAAAATTTGCCCACATGAGACCAAAGTGGTCATTAACTTGCAGATTGTTTAATGTCTGTTACTCAATAAATGCTTAAATAAAATCAACGTAGGAGTAAGCCAACCAAATTAACTATAAAGAAAAATAAACAGAAACAGCAACGAATATACAAAAATACATAGGAGAGTAGAGGGAAACCTGAACTATTTTCAGTGAATTTTGGAACATATATAGACATTTGGGGGCATTTTGACAGCGATTCTCTTCGCGCAGAATTGACGAAAACGTAGTGGGATTTCGCGGTTCTTTTTTTGGCTTTTACTTGCTCTATCTCTGTATTCGGGTGGTTCAATTTTTGATTTTTTTCTTTTTTTTTTAAATGTTGCTCTGCAAAAGAGAGAGCTTCGAGCTTACTAAAGGCAGACCTTCATTTTTTTTCCTGATTTTCTGCAGGAAAAAAAAAAAGAACTTTCCACTAGATCTCTCACTAGCTATTTTATGCCAGTTCTTATTTCTTTGCCTCTTGGGACCAGGGGAGGGGAGGATTTATTAGCACAGGAGTCCCTAAATTGTCCGTGGAATGGAATGCGTTAGCTATCAAAAAAGCAAATATAAATGCAATTATTAACGAGGCCGAAACAGAGGGTGCGAGTTAGACAGAAGAAGGGGAGAATACAACTATGAATGAGCAGGCACTGATCTAGGAAAATGATTAACAATCTAAGAGGAATAAGGAATTCTTTCTCTATCCTTCTGAACTGCCTGACTTGACATCTTGGAAAAATCGCGAAAATGCCCTCGAAAAGGAGACAGAGAGAAAAATAAAACGGAAAGAAAAAAGAAAAGACAAGAAAAGAAAGAGAAAATAAAGGAAGCAGAGCAGAGAGCGCACAGAGAGCCGGCGAACAGAGTACATTCCACAGACCCATCGCCACAAATCACGGCAGCAATTCGAGGTTATTTAGACATTCCCTTTCTGCATGCATCAATTGGGATTTGGTGCATAAAACTTGATACACAATTTGGCAGTCCACTTACCTATCTGTACAGCAAGGATCAGAGAAATATATCTGCCGTTCAACTTAAGTCCCATCCTACATTTAGTAAAACCATTTGCGGCTGCAGATCTTTAAATAGTTACTTTGGAGAACGTGGGGGAAAGCTGAAAAATAGGCATTGCCAACAAGTTCCGAGCAGCGGAGGACTTTGCAGACAAGGGGGGAGACAGAGAAGAAGGAGAGAAAGAGGGAGAAATAGAGGAGGGAGAGGAGGGATAGCTGGGAATGGTTCACTCCATTAGGAGGGGGCGGAGGAAGTACAGCCTCACGCCCACGACCAGCCCTGACGTGGGGGGATGACACTGACTGATTTTTTTTTTTTTTTTTAAGTGTGCACCTTGGAAGAGAAACGCCATTTATAGGCATCACAACCCGCGTTCATCCCGATCCCACTCTCCCCGGGTTCCCCTCCCGGGCCGTTAATCGCCGCGAAACCTCCGCACCGCGCCGGGCTCCCCGCTCCGGGGCTCCCAACGACCCTCGGGGCCGGAGCGCGCACACGTGCACACGCACATGCACACACACACGCACACACACACACGCACACGCACACCCGCACACGCACATGAACACACGCACACACACACCCGCACACACACACACGCACACACACACACCCGCACACACACACACACCCCCCACGCACACGCGCACGCACGGGAGCCGCCCCGGGGGCGGGGATGGCGCCGCAGAAACCCCCCTCCC